CAGGCATGGATGCAGTACTCCAGATAGTGCCTCATGAGAGCAAGCAGAGGAGGACAGGGCTGGCTGTCACAGATCACCTCCTTGTCTTGCACATGCCTTAATATTTTAGCTTCCAGGAGAATCTGTTCCATGATCTTCCCAGAAACAAGCATGAAGCTCATCAGCCTCTAATTTCCCATGTCTTCCTTTCTATCCTTCTTAAAAAGGAGAGTGGTGTTTTCCATTTCTTCCAGTCACTAGGAACCTTACTTGGCAGCAAAGACATCAAATATGATGGTGTCTTGGTAACTACATCAGCCAGTTTCTTCAGGACTCTGGGATGCATATTCTCATAGCCAATGGACTTGAATTTGTTCAGTTTCATCAGGTGATCTTGAACCTCCTCTTTACTTATGGTGTGAGGTATTTTGCTCCCCCAACCCACATCTAGAGGTTCAGGGACATAAGAGGCATGGGAAGCCTGATTGCCAGTGAAGACAAAGAACTTGTTGAGTACCTCAGCCTTTTCCATATCTGATGTGATGATGATGTGCAAAATCATGCTCTATATAACCACAGAATAGTCATAAATTAGGTATGTTTACTCAGACCTGTGCACCCATAATGGATGCAAAGAGGGTATTCCCAACTAGCCTGCATACCAGAGGGCAAGAAAGGCACATATTTAAAGAACAAACTGCTTACATATGCATTAGATTTCCAAGGAAAGCCTAGGTTATTACTGTTAGTCCCCAGAATGACATTTTCCCCACCCTGAGTCTCAGTTCTTTTACGCATGCATGGTATCTCTTGGTGGTCGTCTGGTGGTCTTTTCTGATGTAGGCCATATGTCTTTATTGCTGTGTACTCTTTGACCTGGGTCGAGTTGGAGGACTCTGACTCAGCTCTAGCTGGCCGTCTTATTGGCTACAACTTTGTCCACCAATCCTCTGCTTCTTTGTTAATTTGTGGTTTTACTATCCGACCCTGCTACCTTGCATTCCAGAGACAGGATAGCTAACAATATTAGCAGAAGGGGAAATGGTTTTAAGTTGAGGGAGGGAAGATTTAGGTTGGATGTCAGGGGGAAGTTCTTTACAGAGAGAGTGGTGAGGTGCTGGAACAGCTGCCCAGAGAGGTTGTGGATGCCCCATCCCTGGAGGTGTCCAAGGCCAGATTGGATGGGGCCATGGGCAGTCTGGTCTAGTATTAAATGTAGAGGTTGGTGGCCCTGTATGTGGCAGGGGGGTTGGAGCTTGATGATCCTTGAGGTCCCTTCCAACCCTGGCCATTCTGTGATTCTGCAATATTATTTGGAGAAACAGAAGACTTGCTCTCTGTACTAATTGTCTAAGTCTGTAGAAAAGCATCTGTTATTAGCAGCTAAAACCTGTCTTAGAAATGTCACATCTGTAGCTGTCAATTCAGCACCCCATGAAGGCACGTAACTTTTAACCTAACTTATTTTATTTAATTCAGTGCCATTTCTCAGTTCTCCTTTTTTTATTAGGGGTATACTCTCCTTGGCCTTTCTCTTCTGAATAATGCTCCTATAGAATCTCTTCTTGTTATTTTTCATTCCTCTTGCCATGTCCAGTTCCATCTGTGCCTTAGCTCTTCTGATCTTGTCTCTACATGTCCAGACAGCATCTCTACACTCTTTCCAGACCACATATCCTTCTTCCACTGTCTGTGCATTTCCTTCTCAGTGTGGCCAGCAGGTCCTTGCTGGTTTCCAGCCTCTTATCCCTGACTTCTTACACATGGGGATGGAGATCTCTTGTGCTCTCAGAAAGATGTTTTTAAGGAGTTGCCAGCTCTGCTCAATTTCTTTGTCCTTAAGGACAGCTTTCCAGGGGATCTCATCCAATAAATCCTTAGACATCTGAAAGTTTTCTCTTCAGAAATTTAAGGTCTTGACTTTGCTTTTTCCCAGGCCCGTGTTCCTCAAGATCATATACTCATCAAGAGCATTGTTGCTACAGCCCAAACTGCCTCCAATCTCTTTAATGAGTTCATTTGCACTGATGAACAGCAGTAACACTTTTCCTCTGTCTAATGCCTGGACAAGAAAGTTCTTTTTAATGCACATCAGGAGTCTTCTAGATTGCTTGTAACCTGTGTAGCCTGCTGTGTTCTTTCCCAGCAGCTATCTTTGTGGTTGAAATCTCCCATCAGGATGAGAGCCTGTGAGTATGATGCTTCTTGTAGCTGAAGCAAGTAAGCCTTGTCATCAGGCTCCTCTTGATCAGCCTGTATTAGACTCCAGCCACAAGATGTAATGAATTAGTCCCTGCTGCAGGAGACCACAGCACTCATCTGACCTACCAGCTAGAGCCAGTGACTCATCTGACCTACCAACTGGCAGCCAGTGGATGTGCAGTTCCAGAATATTGTGTGGTACTGTTGAATCCTGTAGACCTTTCTCACTACTACACCTTCCTGTGTTCCATGTGAGAACAAACAGTACTGCTAGGGAAAACCTCTGGCATCTGACAGAGCTCCAAGGAAAGTAAATAAAGACATGGAGTCCAGGTGTTTTTCTCTTGAATCCTGCTCACAGGGGGAAATGCTGTTAGGAGGAGGGCACAGATAGTGTGTAGAGGAAACAAAGATAATGACAGAGCATTTATTTGAGATATATGTGCTACAAGAAAAGTTATCAAAGACAGAGGAATTAACTAACCCCTCCCAGCAGCAGTTTGGAGAAAGGGGCAAGCTGAGGAATGCAGTCTTCTCCCATTTGTACTCTCGTGCCACAGGAGAAAGGGGGGGAGAGAGGGAGGGCAGGGGAAACTCACACTGCACGCGCGCTCCCAGAAGTATCACTATTGCTGAGACAGAGACAGAAAAGGTGGCTCTACCCACTTCCCCCTTCCCCCCCGCTCCAGGCACCCACATGCTCACATATTGGTTCAGGCTGTGACCTAGGAATTCCACTGCATAGTGAAAGTCAATGTTTGGTTGTAAAACTAGTGTTCGTGATGTGGTTTTGGTTTTATGATAATGGGACCCTGTTTGTGGATCAGCAGCTGCTTGGGAGAGATGAGTTCCAGCTCATGAAGTGGAGCAAAACTATAGGTCTTTGAAGACAGCTATTTGATCTCTTAGTGTTCTCACAGCTAAATGAAAATCAGGCTTTTCTCATATGTCATATCTTATAGCATCCTTATCATGTTTCTGAGCCTCTGTTGAATTGGCACATTTCAGATTATCTTTTTTTTTGTGCAGGGGAGCATAGAGTTATACACAGCACTCTGGTTTATTCAGTAGTCTGATCTGAAAACCTTTGATTTGAATCAGAGACAGCTGGAAAACTCAGTTGTATTTTCAACATCCAAAGTCTGTACAGAATTAAATTATTATATACTGATAAGCTTTAGAAAGGAAAAAAGCAGATGATGGTATGAGATAAAACGTTTGTGCTACCTACTTCTTTGAAGTTATGTTTAGGAAACTGCATGAAAATATACATATTTGAGGAAGAGTCATGTCGGTGGCATGGACATACTGCCTGAGCCACAGTTTTAAACTTCACGTTATACTCAGAAATGCATCTACTGTAAGAATCTTGCATTGAGAAAAGTTTAAATTCCTTTTTGTTCTTTTATATGAGGGTGTAATTTGCCTTTCTTTCTGATGCCTTCTTGAATCTTTTGCTAGCCAGATATTGTGCCAATTTTTTTGCCACTCTTGCATTTCTACTGAGGCATTTCTTTAAAGACTCCTTTTTGGCACCTTCTGTAGCTCTCTGTACTTAGGGCTGTCTTTTCTGAGACCTTGACCTTTTTGAAGCAGTGTCCACAGTGAAAGGTTTGAGATGTTTGCCAAAAATGAAAGTACTCTACTGTGTGTTAAAAGGAATATCAAACCCATAACTGAGATGCCATTCAGAATATAAGCATAGAGTAATTCACCTCCATCTCTCTAAATTTAGATATCCATGCAATCATACATTAAATAAATGTACAAGTTTTCCCCCGTCTTATTTTCTAGATCATTACATTACATCAAGTAATGATGTAAACTGCTCTAGTATTGCAAGAACTGGAAATCAATACTTCAGTGCATTGGGAGTATTTAGAATAGTTAAGTAAATATTTGTAGTATGATTTTTATTCTGTACTTAAAGTATTAGGGACAAACTGCTACTTATTTTGCTGTTCCAGAAGAGATTAATTTTACAAGCTTAAATTTCCATAGTGTGGTGGCATGAATCTCTTCCAAATTTTCCCATTAACACTACATTACATATTCTACAAGCATGAATAAGATTAGTACAAGCACTGAGGGTAGAATAAAGGATCATTCTTTTTCAGTCTGTGGAAACATATGAATGTGTATTACAGGTTTAATAAAATCAGCAAATGTTGAATACATGCTGAAAAGTTAACCAAGAAAATATTTGTTCTTGCTGAAATGGGAGCTTCATGCTAAAAGAAATAGATTATACTCTACCCTCTGAGAATAATTCATACTTTGAAGAAACGAGATATAAAATATAATTTCATTGTGTCACAATCTCCTTCCAGGGCATGTATCTTTGAAGCAAAAGTGATCCTTTTCTGATTTTATTGAGCTTACAAGTGGCTAAAGTAACAAAATGAGGGAATAAGAACAGGATTGAAATTGTATTTTTAGCATCATCTACTAAAAAATTCCTCCAGATTTTTATTCTAATTTTCCAGATGTTTTAAGTTAAAGAAGTATATTTCCTCTTTTATGAACTTGTCTTTTTTTTTTTTTTTTAATAACTTACATTTCTATGTAGGAAACTATTCCCAAAATATTAACTGTGCTTAAATACTCTGCTTGAATATGAAATAGGTTAAAATATAGATACGTACATGAAAAGATGAAATAGTCTTAATATGTGAATATATAATGTTTATCAAAATGCATTGCTTTTTGACTGGATTATTCCTTTCTTCTGATCTCCAGATGATGTAGATATCTGATACTAGATACGTCCGCACTGGAATGTTAACGAGAGTTACAAATAATATTTTTCTTATCAACAGATATTTCCTGGACTGATTCTATCAGACATTAAGCCCGCCAAAAGAATGAAGTTCAAGACAGTCTGCTATCTGCTTGTTCAGCTCATGCACTGTCGTAAGATGTTCAAAGCAGAGATCCCTTTCTCCAATGTCATGACGTGTGAAGATGATGATAAGGTAATTCATGTGGACAGATACTTGCTCTGAATATATGGGATTGTCTGGCCAGCTCTTTCTGGTGTTCCTGCTGGGGCTAGAGCTACCTAACACACAAAACAATGGGAAATACATGCAGCCTTCTCACGCTAAAGACAAAACTCAGTTATAACAGATCTCACGTTAGAAGCCTCTATTAAGGCCTTTCTATACAGAAATTATGGATTCTGAGGCTATTCATGCAACTAAATTTATGCAAGAGCTGTTCTTTTGCATCATGAGTTCACCACAGTCTGAAGTTGACTACAACAAATGAAAAATAAGAAAAAAATGTTGTATCTATTCTCTAAAAACAAAAAAGTCACTGATTAGTGACTCTAAAAACACCACTAAGTCCCTAACACAAACACCAAACACAACATCCTTGAACAGATTTTAATGCATAACTCATCATACTAGCAGCTTTATCTGCTAATCTGACTTTTCTGTACACAGCTTCACCCAGAAACTTACAGAGTAAAAAACATATGAAGACTTGCTCTATTTTCTTTGCCAGCAGATGACAGTATAACATATGCCACTCCACTGGTACTCCAATACAGGAAAAGAGTGTATTGAAATCAGCAATTAATTTTGAATTGATTTCTCCACTTTTTTTTTATAATCTATTTTTTTTTATGATTTGAATAAGGTACATTTATTGAAGATTCAATCTAAGTCTTATTTTCAGAAAGTTTTATAACTTTTCTATTTTCCATTTTATGTATGCATATATCTCTTCTGTGGGAGAAATGGAGAAAATTCTGTTAGCTCCTTTAGAATGCAACTTCAGTGATAAAGTTCAGAAATTCCAAATTTGGTTCGGAAATGGATGTACTCTAGGTGCTTTGGTATGGCCTTTCAGTTGTAAATTAGTACTGTTCTTCTAGGATTTGAAAATAGCAACATACAGACTTTGAAATATGTACAATTCTTTATAATATTTCTCATAATATACACAAATATCCAACTATGGGATGTGTTAGAATGTATACGGTGAAGTTCTGAGATACTTTCTTTATCTGAACCAAATGTTCTAGGATCTTGTACCTGAAACAGCATGATATATGATTTTAATATAAATACACTGTGTTTCAATTTAAGGTTTATTCAGAATTGAAGTTTTCTAATCAGTTTAAACAAGGAAAGGCTATAAAAGCTCTGAAGTCAGCATACTACTTCAGTACACATTTATTCAATTGATTTCTGAGAAAATATAAGTAATGTTCCTTAATCACAGATATCATGTAAGTCTACTTTGTAAAATAATAACAGAAAAAAAAGACACACAGTGAAAGCAATTATATGAGCAACAGCTAATCTGACTAAGCACAGTAACTTTAATCCTACTACAAATAGAATAATAAGCTCCATTGTATAACTCCATGCCAGATTTTAAAGCTAAGAAGCATTTTTGTTTCTTCTTTCTTTTTTTTCAGTTAATTAAAGAAGGCTGTATTGTTCATCCCTGTTAGTATTCTATAGACTTAATAGAATCATAGAAACATAAAATGGCTTGGGTTGCAAGGGATCCCAAGTTCCAACCCCCCTGCCACATACAGGGCCATCAACCTCCTTATCTAATACTAGACCAGGCTGCCCAGGGCTTCATCTAAGATAGTCTTGAACACCTCCAGGGATGGGGCATCCACAACCTCTCTGGACAGCCTGTTCCAGCACCTCACCATTCTGTGTAAAGTACTTCCCCCAGTATCTAATCTATACCTTCCCTCCTTGAGCTTAAAACCATTCTCCCTTGTCCTATTACTGTCTACCCAAGTAAAAAGTTGATTCCCCTCCGGTTTATAATCCCCTTTTAAATACTGGAAGGCTGCAATTAGGTCTCCTCACAGCCTTCTCTTCTCCAGGCTGAACAAGCCCATCTCCCTCAGCCTGTCTTCATAAGGGAGGTGCTCCAGCCTTCTGATCATCTTCGTGTCCCTCCTCCAGACCATCTCGAAAAGCTCCACATCTTTGCAGTATTGGGGGCCCCAGACCTAGATGCAGTACTCCCAATGGGGCCTCACAAGAGCAGAGTAGAGAGGGCCAATCACCTCCCTGCCCCTGCTGGCCACCCCTCTTGTGATGGAGCCCAGAATACCATTGGCCTTCCAAGCTGCAAGAGCACACTGCTTACTCATGTTCAGTTTTTCATCAACCAAGTCCCCCAGGTCCTTCTCCACAGGGCTACTCTCAAGGAGTTCTTCTCCCAGTCTGTATAAATATCTGGAGTTACTCTGGCCCAAGTGGAACACCTTGCACTTTGCTATGTTGAACCTCATAAGATTCACATGGGCCCACCACTCGAGTTTGTTGAGGTCCCACTGGATGGCTTAACTTCCTTCTAATGTGTCAACGACACCACTCAGCTTGGTGTCAGTGGCAAACCTGCTGAGGGTGCACTTGAGCCCTCAGTGTCATTGATGAAGTCATTGATTTTATCAATGTCATTGATGAAGACGTTGAAGAACACCAGTCCCAAGACAGACCCCAGTGGGACACCGCTTGTCCAGGTCTGTACCTGGATATTGTACTATTCACTACAACACTCTGTCTACGGCCTTTCAACCAATTCCTTATCCCCCCCTCAAATCTGTATCTCTCCAATTTAGAGATAAGGATGTGGTGGGGGACCATGTCAAAGGCCTTGCACAAGTCCAGGCAGATGACATTGGTCGCCCTCACTTTGTCCACCACTATTGTCACTCCATCACAGGCCACCAGATTGATCAGGCAAGACCTCCCCTTGGTAAAGCCATGCTAGCTGTCTCAGATCACCTCAGATCACCGTCTCTTGGGTGCCTTAACATGTCTTCTAGGAGGATCTGTTCTATGATCTTCTCAGGCACAGTGGTGAGGCTCACCAATCTGTAGTTCCCCAGGTCCTCCTTCCTCCTTTTCTTATAAATGGGAGTGATGTTTCCTTTTTTCCAGTCCCTGAGGACTTCATCCAACAGCCATGATTTTTCAGATATGATGGAGAGCAGTTCAGCAACCACATCAGCCAGCTCCTTTAGGACACTGGGTTGCATGTCATCTGGCCCTATAGACTTGTATGCATTCAATCTCATGGGGTGGTCTCGGACTTGCTCTGCCCTTACAGCAGAGGGGGATTTACTCTCCCAGTTCCCACCTAGAGGACCAGGAGTGCAAGCTTCAGGGAAATGAGAAATACAGGAATCCTGGCTGCCAGGGAAGACTGAGACAAAAAAACTCATTTAGTACTTCAGTCTTCCCCATATGTGTTGTAGCCAGTTCTCCTTCCTCTTTTACCAAAGGAGGTAAACAAAAAAAAATACAAAAAAATACAAAAAATTGAGCTTCAGTTCCGGTTATAAAACATTTTATGTGCATTTTTCTGCTTCACCTTAAGCAACACACATGTTAATTAATTCTTTATCATTATGAACAGTAAAAATAGTTAATTCCTGGTGATATTCCTGACAGCACGTAGTTTTTATGACTTGCAGGAAAACTGTTAGGATTTGACTTGTTTGAAAGGTCTTCTGCAACATAACAGCTTTATCTTTACTTACAAAATTTTATAATAGTTGCATGGCTGGCAAATTGGCATTTCTGCTATAACCAAAAAAAACCAGAAGATTGGATGTGAATGTTTTAGTCCATGTATGTTCACAAGATTATTTTTCATGATAAAATAAGTTCCTTTCTACATATAAAGCCAGCAAAATAGAACTTGAAAAGTTATTTTACTTTTGCTAAGGTTCATTCTTCTTTACTATCACCAAAATAACATATCAGTCAATGATGAGCCCTCTTCACAGGTCTTAAGTATGCAGGCGTAGTACACATATTTATTATGAACTGATATGTTAACTGATTAATTGCTGTAGTCCACTGTCATTCAGTAGACTGCTTATTTCCTTGGTGGAGAAAAAGTCTCAGGGCAACATGTAAAGAAAATGATAATGGTTGAAATCCTGGAACAAGGTGGGCATTTTTTTATTAATAATAAAAAATAATTATAAATATATAAATAATAATGAGATCAGGATTTAATCTAAGGAGTCCTTAGAAGATGGTAATCATACTGAAAGAAGATCGTATATGGTTGCTCTCCTTAATGAATTCTTCATAGTGACCATGAACTTGAGATAATATGGATATGTTCAATTTCTGTGCTAATAAAAGCCTGTGCTTCTGTCTTCCATCTGTGCTACAGAGGAGAGCATTAAGGACAGCCTCTGAAAAGCTCAGGAATCGTTCCTCTTTTTCTACCAATGTTGTGTACAACACTCCAGGAACACGAGTAAACAGATACATCAGTCGTTTGATAGAGGCCCGGCAAACTGAGTCTGAGATGGCTGACCTGAACTTCTTTACCCTGAAGTATAAACAAATTGAGCGTGAAAAGAAAGTAAGGAGCTTTAAATACTTTTTTACTGATTTCATTGACCAATGAGCATTGTGTTTTTGTTGCTTTTTTGTTGTTGTTGTTGTTGTAGACAGTATTTAAATTCTTCTCACTACCTTTAAATAATCTGATGAACAAAATAATAAACAAACTAAATAATAAATGAACTAAATAAAAATAAACTAATTTTTTCCTAGCTAAAAGGAAAAAATTATCTCTACCTTCTATGGAAGCACTTGGAGGAGGCAAAAGAAAGATCAGGATCTTTCTATGTTTCAAGCTCCTCATACTTTCTCATGACAATGTGGCTGCCTACTGATTCACTGGCTCTGGAAAAGGTTTGATGATAGGAGGACATTTCTCTCTACATGTGTTTTCTGATGAGGATTGATCCAATCAATCCTAAAAAAATATAAAGGAATACTTAATTCTCCTAGCATACCACATACTGTGCTGAAAGCTGTAGACTTGCTTCAGACGTGTAAGCACATAAATATATATATATATAGGAAGTGTCATAAAATCATGGAATCTTCATAGAATCACAGAATTATTTGATTTGGAAGAGGACACTTTAAGGTCATCTAGTCCAGCTCCCTTGCAATGAACAAAAACATCTACAGCTAGATCAGGTTACTCAGAGCCTATTCCAACGTAACCTTGAATGTATCCAGGGATGGAGTGCCCACTGCATCTCTGGGCAACCTGTTTCAGTACCTAACCACCTGTATTGTAAAAAACATTTTACTTGTATCCAATCTAATCCAATTCTTTTTTTTTTTTTTTTCCCCACATATGGTGGACAAAGATTGATTGAGATATTTCAATTCAACTGTACTGTGTTTCTGGAAATATTTAGAACTTTCAAATCGTTCAAATCTTTCATGTGTTTGTTTGTTTGTTTGTTTGTTTTTGTTTTTGCTGTTTTTTTCTTTCCTTCTTTTAATATCATAACATATAATTTTGAAATAATTCAAAATTTCCTTGAAATGTTTTGTTTTCTTTAATGCAGTTAATGTGCTTTTCCAGGCTACTCTGTATTTCACACTTGTACTTGTTGAGGGTAGCCAACTTGAAAGTAACATATATATATATATATATATATTATGAACTATTTACTGTAAACTTTGTTCCCTGAGAAAATCCTACATCTTGCAAGACTCAGTATATTGTCTCTATTCTTGCATTACAGTGTTAAAGTATGTGAAAACCCAACCTCAATTTCCATTGATCTTAACTTCTGTGTGTGGATCTCTACTGAGTTGCTTGCACTGATGTTATTATCACATCCCAATTAGGAGTATTTGTGTGTAAATTTAGAATTGTTCTGACTAAAGCAAATTCTAACATTAGGTGGTAAAAGAAGATGGAATTTTTGAACTTCTTGTGAAAACAATTTGTTCTGTTGTAGGGACCGTGCTTTGGTGGAATCAGGGACAATAATTGTTTAAAAGTGAACCTGAGTCTTGCAGTAGCACCCTTTAGGGCCCTATTCTGAGCACTTCAGATGACAGTGTTCCTTAAAAGCAGCACCAAATGCTTTATGATGCTTTGGGAGTGGTGAATAAGAGAAAGAGGAAAGGAGCACCTCCTTCTTCAGCTTAAAAATGGCTGAATAATTTTTGTTCCAGAAGATAAACTTATTCCTGTGTCTGGCGTGGATTTGACTAATTTGAGGGTGAAAGCTAAATAGGTAGGCCAATAGAAACAGCTGAAATAAGCCTGTTCAAGCAAAGACTTCTGTAGACTAGCCTCCTCCAATTTTCTTGTGAACTAAGCAATGATAATACTTATGCTTAAGAAGTGGATTTTAGGTTGCAGTTCTTTCCTGCGAAGAGTGGACAAGTGTGAGTGGCTGGCTGGGTATATATTAAGTGCTCACTGTCTTCATTTTCTCCTTTCTTTAACAGTACCACCAGCTTCAGGATGAATACTTCACCAGTGCTGTAGTTCTCTCACTTATTTTAGCTGCCTTATTTGGCCTTGTCTACCTTCTAATAATACCACAGTAAGTTTCTATCTTTTGCCATTATAATCCAAAGTGAAATATCTTCGAGTAACCTGCACAGAATTGAAATGCTATCATCTCTGGAAGGGCAATTAGCAACCAGAGTGGTAGCTTCTCAAATAAGAGAGTCTCTGATGGTATATCCTCAGACTATCTTAACTCGTCTATTTGTCCAAATGAACCACAAATTTAGTTTGGCCATTCTTACATGAATTGCAGTCAGAGCTTGGCTGCATTAAAGCAGACATATTCATGATGTATTTGAGAATGTGTTTGGTGCTCATTATTGAATGCTATAATGTATTGATTAATTCAAGTATTGTCAATGCTATGTTAAATGCTCACTGAAGACAAATTAGACTTCATTCCAAAAATCTTTGAGTTACAGGTAGATGCTTAGAAACAGCAATAACTTGAGAACGATTTCATTTTTTCAGATGATAATATCAAAAGTAAACTTCATTCACACTTATAAATTATTAGGATATCAATGGAGATGAAATGGGCCACAAGATAATGCTTTAGAAAATCTCATTTTAATTCAGATCTTTTCTATTCATAAATCTCTAGTTAGAATAGTACTCTTATATGGTTCTATTATTTTTAAATGAAAGTTTGAGGGACACATTTTTAATTTTAATAACAGTCACTGGCATATAATTTTTTTACCTAATATCTGAAAAATTCAAAGTAATTTGCAAAAAATCATCTAGTTTCCAGACAAATTACTTCTGTTGACTAACTGGAGCATAGTTGAGAACTATTTCACCTACTTCTGCACACCTACAGCAGGTGGAAGAATTTGAATTCCATGCAACTTAAAGAGAAATAAAGAGCATTAGTGTCACTAGAACTAGATTGAATGTGCAAGAATCATATGCCATGATAATTGTTAACCTTTCCAAAAAGTAGCATCACTCCGAAAAAAGCTGGACAGATTTTCAGATTAAGCTATTGCGTGACAGATAATAGAAGATCCAGCAGAAAATGAACACTGAATGCCATGAAAATTGATTGGTTCATCATCGAGCAAGCTAGAAAAGCCACATATTGAATGGTAACATCTTCCAATAAACACGTCAGTCTTAATTTTAGGCAATCAAACTGTGACTCTTTCCTTGCTGCAGCACAGATGAAAACAGGAACTAGACTAAAACTCTGAAAATACCAGAAATTTTCCTTCTCCACAAAACTTGGAGCTTAAAGTTGCTCTTTAGATTGCCATAAGTACTTCTAAGTATGACAAGCAAATGCAAAAACAAAGATAAGAAGTGTAAAGTGTTACTATAATGGGAGAGGTGATAATGATGGTCTTCAATATGTATTACAGTCTTCCAAGGGGAAAGTTAAAAAATCTAGAGACAAAAAAATTGTTGTAAGAAAGACATTTGCTGCATTAATGCACAAAAAGCAATGGGCTTGATATTTTCATGACTCCTGTGATCATCTCAGCACAACAGCTTGACAGCTGAACACATATTTACATCCTCAGATGTGTCTGACGGAATAAAGGCTCTATTCCTGTCAACTTAAGCTTTCCAGTTACTAAGGCAAAAATACAACCTAGCCACTAAAAACCCCGATGATCAATCTTTCTGATATCTCAGTGGGTTCATATTCAAAAAACTCCTTTTTGCTGGCAACAGCCCAATATCTTTCATAGTCCCACTAAACACTAGTGTGAATGGTTGGATACTGCTGCATTGAAAGACACTTGCAATGATCTCTCCATTGCTTTCTTGCAGTACTACCATCCTAAATACACTCCAGTTCTCTAAAAATATAGAGGAGACTGCTATCTATTAATAATTCTATTCAGAATCCACATTATAATCTCAAGTTACTTCTTGGTTCTAGATACACATACTACATCACAGCATTATCCCTTTTTGTGTATTGATGACTTCTTGCATAAATTCTTGCATGAACTTCAAATCAAAAGCAAATACTGAGACGTAGCAAAAGACTTCTTATTTTCTTCTACTATTAGAAACTCCTTATAAGCAATTTTTCAAGACTGATAGCAAGATGCATGTTGTTTTCACAGGACTAGAACAGAAGGTGTGAAGATCATCTTATGTTGTTGTCATGCCTACCTGGTTCCATAGCTGGCAAGGGGCTGGAAAGTACCTGAAAATAATCAAAGCACCAGTAGTAGTGGACTAATTTTTGCCATATCTATAAAGTACTGCTCCAATAACTTAGGGTTGTTGAGCAAGGGAAATACTAGGCTTGTACTCCTAATTAAGAACAAACCTATTTTGAAAGAGCAGAAAAAGGAAGATTAAGGATTACAAGAATTATAACGGCATCTTCACAAAAGATATGATTTTTCTTACTCTTTGAGGAAGATTCAAATGAAAGGAGTTGCTCTGTGTAGGTAGAAGGGAGTGCAGTCCAGCCTGACTTTATTTGACTTGATAAATGACGGAGTTGACTGGGCTCTGATTTCTGAATCTTTGAGGAGAAGTTAGAAGAGAAAAGCAGATGGTAACTGATAGACAGTTGCCAAGACCAATTAATGGAGAGTTGTATTCTCCATTTATGATGCAGGAGTCATCATGCTGAATATCCAAAATTAGAAAGTGTCTTTTCTCGCACCCTGTATAAGTGAATTTCTGAGTTGCTTTGATCTCCTTGCTGAGAGTGGGTGCCACGTACAAGGAAGTTCACTGATTTCTCATTCTTGAGAGCAGCACATTTTGCTGTGATTTTTTTTCCCTGAAATGGTTAGATTTACAATAAAATCACGGGGGGAAATCCTCCAGCATTTGTCCATCACCATTTCAGAAAAACATCTCTGCTGTTTGTTCTCGTATCTGCTACTGAGTTAAATTGACTTACTCCTATTGTATTTTGATTCTAGGAGTACCATAGTTCTTGTTCTCCTGGTGTTCTGCATATGCTTCCTAGTGGCTTGTATTATGTACCTACATGTCACAAGAGTACAAGTAAGTGATTTAAGATTTTTTTATTATTCTTTCTTTTGGTGGCTACACTTTGTTTCTTCAGTGAACTACAAAGCCATCATTGTGTGCTCCATAGCATGAGAGTCTGAGATCTATCTGCTTTTTAGCTCATTGCTGAGTAAAATTGTAGGCACTCCAAAAAAAAAAGATTATTCACTTGAAGACAGAATTCTTTTACATTAATAATTTTTTTCCAGCATTGTAGCCTTCAGTGCTATTAATGCTATGGTTTTTTTGTTTGTTTTTTCAATTGATTGATTGATTGATTGATTTTTTGTTATGCAAAGGTCTTCTACATTAATAATTTTTTCTAGCATTGTAGCCATCAGTGCTATTTGTACTAGCAGGGTGTGGAGTTTTGCTGGTTGGCTGGTTGACTGGTTGGTTGGTGGGGTTTTTTTTTGCACTATCTCCCTGAGCACCTACCACTAGTTACTAAGACCATTCAAGTGGCCAGATGAATAGCTGCTTTAACCTGGATTTTTCTCCTTTCTGACCAGGATTCTTCTCCATTACATTTTCACAACAGTAATAATGCAGAGGAACATCTGGTTGTTGTAGTAGAAAACAAGGTCTACTAGATCAGAATAAAGCATCTATTGACTAGTTTTCTGATGAAAAATATCTGTGTTGGCTTAAACCAAATTTTTTTTTTTTTTTTCAGAAAATAATCAGAAGAAACACCTACACAGTTAATGTACTCTGCTGATTAGCACACAGTAATTTTTAGTTAGAAAATATGGCCTTTGGCAGGAGAAAGTTAATTGTTTTCACGGAAACATAAATAGCATCTTAGCAGAGTATCTGGTACATAACAGATCTTTATAAACTTAGACTATTTTATAGGAGTAATTTTAATTATCTCTTTTGAAGGAACAGTACTTCATTAAGTGTTGCTTTGTGCATGATCATTAGATACAGATGGAGTTTGTGAGAAATTGTTCCTCTTCATGTCATTTCCCAGGGGCTAGTGCAAACAAGGTTTGTTTCAGCAGTCAATGGGATTTGTAGCTTATTTAGGTTTTTCTAGAGACTCAGTATTTTATTGGATGAAATCCAGCATTAGAAAAACAAATAAATTTAAAATTTAGAATATAGCAGATTGAAATTTTGTGGACAAATTTATCTTGTATATTGAATAAAAGATAATACATTATGTGTAATGAATATAGAATTGTGAACTGGGGACTCTTCTGTTCAAATTATTCTTCTGGTACTTTTCTAGCATTATTTTACACTAGTCAAGTGTAAAGTGCAATTATTAAAAGATCCTTCAAGCTTTATAATTTTACTCATAAAATCACTATAATAACTTTGAACATTACTGGTTACCTAGCATTTAGGGTATCTAACACTACATCTTTTGTTAATAAAAATCCCACAAGTAAAACAAAGAAAATTAAGCCCAAAATGCTGTACTGTCATGAAAGAGCAGATGCTGTCTTAGAATGATCAAAAAATCAGAAATATAAACATTTTATGCTTTAATCAGAGCATTCGATCAGACATGTCTTATACCTTACCTTTTAAAATTTTACTTTCTTTTTTATCCACTGCTCTAGCATGTTAACATTTATAACATATATGCAACACACGCCAAGAAAAATGTCTGTACAATGTGTTGGAACTGTTTTGAATCTGCAATTTGCTTTGTAATTATTTACCATGCAGAATTATCTTCAAACTATGGAAATTCTCACCATTTTATTATTATTGCTTTATCCTCTGTGAGCAATTTCATTGCAAACCGAATTAACTGAATACACTTATCTCCTTGTACAAAAGCAACATAACAGCATTTTATATATATGGATAAAAATGAACCATCTGTTTCATATATATAGATAGATTTTGATCTAGAAGATTAAACATCTTGATGACTAAATAAAAACCAGTCTGGATGATCAGGTTCAGAACATAGAGATAACAGGTTATACTTCACTTGGAAGGCAGTAGTAAGTGGAGTACCACAGGGGGTCTATCCAAGTGACTTGTCCTGTTTAACATATTTGTCAAAGACCTACAGGAGGACACAGACTAGATAATCTCCACCATGCTGCTCTCTCACTCCCCCTCCTCAATAAAACAGGGAGAGAGAATATGATGAGAAAAAGGCTCAAGGGTTGAGATAAGGACAGAAAAATTTCTCTACAACTACCATCACAGGCAAAACAGACTCCATAGGAGAGAGATTCATGTTATTTACTCCCTATTGTTATAGATTGGATAGTGAGAACCTAAAAATAGATGAAAAACACCTTCACCCTCTCTTGTCTTTCCTCCTCTTGAGTGGCATGAGGGAATGGGGAACGGAGGCTGCTTCATCTCTGCTGCTCCTTCATTGTCATTCTCTTTTCCTTCTCCATCCTGGGACTCTCCCACAGGCTGCATCCTTTCTGAAATGATCCCATGTGGGCTTCCCACAGGCTGCAGCTCTTCTAGCACTGCTCCTATGGGTACTATGGTGCCCATCCTTCAGGATGGCACTGCTCCAGCATGGGTTCCTACAGGCAGCAGCTCCCCAGACCTCCTGCTCCACCACAGGCTTCTCTCCACAGGCTGCAGCTCTGGCCCAGGGCCTGCTTCTGCAGGGGCTGTCCATGGGCCACAGCTTTCTGCTGCACCATGGGCTCCTCCACAGGCTACATGTGCAGATCTGCTCTGCATGGTGCCCCATGAGATGCTGTAGCACAGCCTGTTTCACCCTAGACCTCTCCGTGGGCTGCTGGGAACTTCTACTCCACTCTTGAAGCACATCCTGTCCACCTTCTGCATTGACCTGGACATCGGCAGGACTGTTTCTCACATTTTCTCACTCTTCTCTCTAAGCTGCTGTTCCACAACAGTTTTTCCCTTTCCTAAATCTGCTCTCCCAGCAGCACAGCCAATGTTGCTCACAGCTCAGCTCTGGCCATCGGTTGGTCCCTTTTGGAGACATCTGGAACTGGCTCTGATCTGCCATGGGGCAGCTGCTGGGCGCTGCTCATAGAGGTCACCTGCTGTTACTAAAACATTGCCACATAAAATCAACACAGTTTGGGTTGGAACAAACATAAATACTATATCCTGGCAGACTTGTCCTTCCTCTCTCATCTTTTGGAGTACATTTCACTCGTGGAGATGAGTAAGAGATTCACAAGACTCCATTCCACCAGACTTTTTTTTTTCTCCAATGCTGTTTCTGCTCTGACAAATTCAATATTTTTAATGGGTTCTGATAATTAAAACTATCATGACATTCAGTGTGACTATGGTAGCAGAAGACACAAATACCATTCCAAAGTTCCACGCTTCCACAGTATGTTCTCTTGGTTCATCTGAAGTTGATAATTTGCAAGGCAAAAGATGTTTTGTATACATTTCTCAGGGGAAAAAAGTCTAATGCCATCCCACTTTGCATTATAAATGGGCATCCTACTCATAGTCCAAAGAATTTTAATTTTAGTGAGAAATAATGTATAGTAATCATAATTTCATGTGTATTGCCCCAGAAATGTAGATTGCTATTAAAACATATATTCACAATTATTACTGCAACATATGTATGTAATTATAAATGCATGTTTGTTTCTTAAATTACAGTGCAGGAAAATATCACCTTCTTAGCTATAAAAAGCTTACTGATCAGTAACAATTCCACTTCTAAAAATGTTTCTAAAATATATATTAATCTTTTTTCTTTCCTTAGTGTTTTCCAGGGTGCCTAACAATACAAATTCGTACCATTTTGTGTATTTTTATTGTGATCTTAATATACTCTGTGGCTCAAGGATGTGTGGTGAGTATTTAAATCAAGTTTAGCTTTCTGTTTAAGAACAATGTTTTATAGATACCAGTGAGCATATACAGTGATTAATTATTAACTCTTTTAATTATTGTTGTTTGCAGAGCAAATTTCTTCAGAACTTACTTTGTTAGAGTTTGAATTTTCACAATCTTGAATCAGAGTGTTGAGTTAGGAATGGCAAAGTTACTAGCATATAGTATAGATAAGACATAGACAAAACCTATGGAAATTTTTATATCTAAAGATAGTATCACAATGTCTGCAGTTGCCATGTTCTTTATGGGAAAATCATTTTTAAATGTTAAACTTGATTAGTAGTTTAATGTCTAATACAGTGTGACAGAGAACGTATGGTCACAAGATTATTCCTTTGTGACAACTAATAGAAAATATTTCTGCATAGTAACAGATATTTTATGTCTAGACAGATCAGAAAAGATAAGAAAATCTTAAAAATCTGAATGGTATAGAATAAGAAGAGGTTTTTACACTGTACTTTTTATGCAGTCCACTCGAATCTATTGCCTGAGGAGCTGATGTGAAGTATTTGCTCAGTACTTCTGAAAAACTGAGCTTCTTTAACAGCTAGTTCTACATGGTGAATTCCTAAATATTTGGCATGCAGTTGCTTTGTTGAATTCTCAGCACTCAATTTCAGCATTTTGTCCGTGAACGAATTAAATATTTTAAGGTACCCAAAGGAAAGAATTCACACAAAAATAGCATGCTAAACAGAATTGGAACTTCTGAGGAAGCAGATGTCTCAAACCATGCCTCCCTGTGGGATGCAAGCAATGTGCTCTATGCAATAAGAAGACAGTGGTTTCATGAGCAATTCACAACACTGTGATGCCACACTCATTATTTTATATTTTATGTATTCACTGGTCCCTGGATGTGCCCTGGGAAAATCTATCAAGTTGAACTGAATGGGCAGAGGATCCTTTGTCCTGATCCAATGTCCTGAGAGGTACCAAGAATTCCTGATGTTCAGACATTTCTTGCATTTCCTGAACATCATCTGTGTGAGTAGGAGCACACAGATTCCTAATGTGCGTATAAACCTAAATAGATATGCAGTGCTTCCAGGCTAGCTAGCCTCTCAGCAACCGAAAAGTTGCTGTACAAAAGGACATCTCACTTTTAGATTTAGATGAACGTCATGACACCCAGAACTTTTGTGGATCATCCCCTGTATACTTGATGCTTACTTGACCAAGCTAACAGACAACGAAAATAAAATGCAGAAGTTGTAAATACCTAGGATAATCTTGAATTTCAGCAGAAGGCAGATTGGAATTTAGTTCTGGCCTCCAATAGGAATCATCCAGTTACAACTTAAAATAGGCCATCAGTAAACCTTTATCCTTTATTGAAGTAAAATGAAAATAAAAATAAAAGCCTTTACCCATTGAAATACTTAGAATAAGTGTTCAGTAGAAAACATTGGTTCTTGAAATTCTCATCCAGCAGAGGAGCTAGGTATTGAGATTTTACTTAGTTACAGAACAGATACACTTTTCCTGGAAGAATTGCACATCATTTATAAGTCCTCATGCACGCTTTTTTTTTCAGATGAGTGCAGTATGAAGAGCATTTTTTAGGACATTGAACAGAATCACATTGAATTGATTTTTCACCTCAGCCTTTACAATTTCTTTTCGTAATGTTCATCAGTATTTTAACTCTCATTTTCTCTGCTGTGTCTCATCTGTTTGAATTACTACAAAGTTCTGTATATTCACTGATCACCTTTCAAATTGTCGATTATTTTACAGCATGCTGTAACATTTCATTATTGGTGGCTAGGATACAGTAAAAAGGTCTAGTAACACACTTCAGAAAAGAAGCTTAAGTACAGAGCAAGGCTTATGTGGTAATTCCTGTTAAAATCAATTTCACACTGCAGTCCCACTCTCCTCATTTACGTTAGCTCTAATCCTCTCCCTTAGTAAAGCGTGAAGGTTGGAGTGCAGTTAAAACTGCACTGCAGCTGTTTGCCAATGATTCCTCCCTTCCTTGTCAAAGAGGTCTGAGATCTATATGTCACATTGCCTTTGAAAGTATCTGATTAAAAATCATCATATTTCCAATGTGAAGTGTATCAAAAGTTGTTGGTTGGTTTTTTTTGTTTTGTTTTTTTTGTTTTTTTTTTTTAATATCCTATTCTAGAGAAGAAATTGATCAAAGATAACTACATGGAATGGATAATAAAAGACAGATATAGTACTTGAATCACATGTGATAGATGAATTATCTCTGAGGTAGAGAAAATATGTTATCCATGCCTACCTTTTCAAACAAAAATTAAAATATCTTTTATTTTGTATTTGATTAATTGAAATTGATACACCTTACATAGTCTACAAATCAAACACATTTATTTATGGGCTCTCTCATCCAAATAACAATATAAAATATTTTCTGACATTCGTAAGTTTTTCACTATTATTTTGGGTTGAAAATATCTTGGTTTTGAAAGGGAAACTGCTCAAATAATCCCAGGCTTTAATTTGTTGGCCTTGCTGACAACTAGTGAAAAAAACATATATCCCACATAAAACTAATCATAGCATTTCAAGAAGATTTTATTAGAGCAATTAATTGTCTGGGAACTCTGTATCCATTTATTCCCAATTAGTAATGAACCACAGTCAATCCCCACAACAGCTGCATTTCTGTTTATTTCACAGTTAACTTTCTCCTCTTTTCTCCTCTCCTATCTTTCCTAGGTTGGCTGCATGCCTTGGGTTTGGAATACCAATTCTAGCAGTTCGATAGTTATCATTTCTCCTGGTGGAACAAATAAAACAATGAATGAACTTCCATGCGATACAGCCCACTATGGTTTCCTTTCCTGTGTAGTGGGGACACTCACCTTGGCAATATTTCTACGTGTATCTTCCTTGCCAAAAATTATACTGCTGCTTTTTGTTACTATTTTGTACATAGTTATTCTGGAACTCAGTGGTTACAGAAAAGCAGTGGGGTAGGTGTCTTGCAAAGTCAAAACAATGGTGTTTCTTTAAAGATGGTCATTGCATTTACTATTCATCTCTGAATCACAGAATCATAGGGGTTGGAAGGAACCTCTGCAGATCATCTAGTCCAACTCCTCTGCTAAAGCAAGTTCCCTACAGTAAGTTGCATGAGAAAGCATCCAAGCAGGTTTTGAGTATCTCCAGAGGAGATTCCACAACTTCTCTGGGCAGCTTGTTCCAGTGTCTGCCACTCTCAAAGCAAAGAAATTTCTCTTTATGTTCAGATGGAACTTTCTGTGTCCCAGTCTGTGCCCATTGCCCCTTGTCCTGTCACTGAGCACAGTGGTAAAGAGCCTGGCCCCATCTCCTTGACACCCATCCTTTAGATATTTTATAAGCATAGATAAGATCCACCCTCAAATTTCTCTTCTCCAGATAATCAGTCCCAAATGTCTCAGCCTTTCCTCATAGGGGAGATGCTCCAAGCCCCAGTCATCTTTGTAGGCCTTCTCTGGACTTTCTCCAGTAGTTCCCTGTCTTTCTTGAACTGAGGAGTCCAGAACTGGACACAGTATTCAAGATGCGGACTCATCAGGGCAGAGTAGAGGGGAAGGGTATCCTCCCTTTATGCTCATTTAATGCACCTGTTGGCCACACAGTGCACTGCTGCCTCACGGTCAGCCTGTTGCCCACGAGGACACCTAAGTTATCTGCAGAGTTTCTTTCCAGCAGATCAGCCCCTAACCTGTACTGATGCATACAGTTATTCCTCCCCAAGTGTAGGACTGTACTCTAGCCCTTGTTGAACCTCATTAGGTAGCTGCCTTCTAGCATTCAAGTGCTGCTCAAGATTTTGCAGAATGTGAGAAATATTGTTGGATCTAATAATATTGAGTCCATTTTGGGGAACTGTTGTCCCTTTATTCTGAAGTTTCATGCTAATATACTTCATCTGATCATACTGCAGTCTAATTGTAATATGAAATATAAAGAATTGTTAAAGTCTTCACTTTCATATTTCAGCAACCCTCAACCAATTCTAATTTCATTTAAACTTTTGAATTTTTGAGGGTTTTTTTATTTTCTCAGTGAAAGTATGCAAACGTGTAAAGCAAAGAAAGGCAATGACAGAACCTTTATGTGAGATACAAGCGCTGAAGAACAAGATATCAAAATTAACTCACCCTTTTCAGCAAGAGTTTGGAAAAAAGGGTGAGCTGAGGAATGCAGTCTTCTCTGGTTTGAACTCTGGTGAGCCAGAGGAGGGGTGCAAACCAAGCAGGCTCTGAGTGCATACGCGCTCCCAGAAGCACGACCAGAAGCACCACTGTGTGAGAGAGAGGAAGGGTGGATCTAGGCTGCTCCACTCTGGGCTCTCAGGTGCTCACATACTGGTTTAGATTGTGACCTGGCCACTACAACACATTACAATACTGAATATAATTATAAAATCCTCAAGAACCTGAATGTCGATGAGATGCAGTCATGGTACTGTCACCTACCTCCCTGCCAATATGAGCCACTTTAGAAAAGGCTGGAGATTAGGGGACACCCACAGATTCCAAATTAAAGATTTTATATTAAAAATATCCACTGCTTAGAGAACCTGGAATAATCTTTTTACTTTTGCTTTATTTTTAAGGGGTGGATCCTTTTATATGCGAGGCTATGAACCAACACTAGCTATTTTGCTATTTTCTTGTGCTTTGGCACTGCATTCAAGACAGGTGGACTTGAAGCTACGTCTGGACTACCTCTGGGCTGTGCAGGTAAGTCACAGGACTTTCTAGCACTTATGTACACAGAAAGTGTATATCTGATTTTATGAAACTTACAAATTGCTTACAAATACTGTCAGAACAAATCAGTGGAACTAATACATTCTCAAAATTAACAGCACGTCATTGATGCCGTAATGTGTTTATTTCTAAGGTATATTATGAATACAGTGAATTTCAAAGCTGGGAAGTTGACATTACCACTATAAACTTGAGATAAAGAAATTAAATATCTGGGTTTCTTTTTCTTTTTTTTTCTTATGATGCAAAAAGAATTTGATGTTCAGGTAAATTAAAAAGAAGAAAAAAAAAACCACACCCCACAAAAAAACCAACATGATAAAAGGATATGTGCTTACACCATGGAATGGAACTATGGAATTTCTTTAGAATACCCCAAGAATTAACTTTTTTGGAAAATATAGTTATCTTGGTTTTTGAGCCAGTAGTCAATGCATAAATATCGTGCTGGCAGCTTTCCTGAATGAGCCAACAGAAATAGGGGCAAAAAGATGAAGGTTTTATTGCTATTTAGCTGTCTGAATAATATTTCCACCACTGATGTAAATACCTGTCATCCATGTTATGTGAATCCTTTTTTTGCAGTCCCAAGTGCCCCTCCCTTTTCAGTGTATTTTTTGCCTCGGAAAGAGTAATGCCTATACATCCTTCTATCTCAGAGAGTAGGCACTAGGATTTTATGAGTCACAAAAAGGGAAAATACTTCATTTGCGCCTGAAGGGCAGAAAACTAGAAGATGAGAGAAAGATCCAGAAAACTGGTTATTGGTTCACTTTCTTCCCTACAGAGCTGTGCAATGGGATAGTTTTGGAGTTCTCACTGCTGAATAAGGTCAAATCTTTTTTAAGTTCGCCTTTAATCGTTACTTTTGTTTGCAAGGAATACAAGGAAAGATTGCAAGGAACAGAAAGATATACCCAACTCTATGCATTAGTAGCAAAGAAGATACAATATAGTTCACATTGATAGCACATCCTTTTAAAGTTCCTAGCAGATCACTTGAAAGCTTAGATGATCTGCAAAAAGTTTACGTTTGATGTGTCTGTACAGTGTAAGTGCAGTCCATACAGAGACTGCAGCATGAGCACCAGCAGAATATATACGTAGCAGAATTTATACAGTGTGTGAACTAAGCTAATATACTTTTTAACATGACTAAGTAGTTCCAAAGAGGCACTACACTAACTTCATGAATATACTTCTTCCATATCTGAGATTAGGTCAGGCAGAGTTAGCTAAGATTTTTCTTCATATCATTGTGTTGCCCTACATACATTCTACATAGACATTGCCCGTTCAAATATCTCCTTGAATCTCTTTTCTTCATGAGAGAAGAAAAGCCATCACTTGGCTCTCATTTCTCTGAGAAGGAAACAACTGGAACAACAAGCTGGAGTCTCCATATGTTGTTATATTATGTTTATGTTTACTTCTGGTCATCAAGGGTTGGACAGAAATTCACCAACAAGACCAGGGTCACAAGGTCATGCTTCAATGCTGCCATATTTATCCTTGTTCAGAATACTTTGTTGGTAGAAAACACTGTGTAGTTGAAGAACATTTCCAATTGTGTCATTCAAAATAAACAGTTTAGTCCAGAACTGCTCAAAAGTGACCATCCACATATGTGCAGCTCAGAAAAGAACAGCAAATGCCAATGACTGAGCAACATCACTGTCCATGCAGTGCGTCAGACAGATTACTCCTTTTATCTACCCCTGCTTGATTGCTTTGACTTGCTATATCCTGGCCCATATACATATTTTTCATTTTACCCTATATGGTATTGAGAGCTTAACTAAGAAACCTTAAAGGTTTTGAGGAAGAAGAAAAATCTTTGAAAATTAGAGAAACCGATAGGTAAGCCAAAACGTAATTTAATTCAGGGCCTGAACCTACAAATAGCTTTGCTGCTGTCAAATTTGCCATATTCTAGAATGTTATAAAAATAGAGTTGTAGGCTTAATTTGGATTAGCATCTGGAAAAAGAATTTTTATTACTACAGAATCATGGAATCATGCAATGGCTTAGTTTGGAAAGCATCATTTAGTTCCTGCTGGAGACAGTGATACCATCCTCTAAATCAGGCACTAGATGAAGTTGCCCAGAAACCCATCCAACCTGGCCTTGAATGGATGGAGAACCCACAACTTCCCTGAGATACGTATTCCAGAATGTCACCACCCTCTCAGTGAAAAATTACCACATAAAATGGAGTCCCCCTGTAGCCTTCTCTTCTCCAAGCTAAATAAATTCGGCTCCTTCAACTGCCTTTGTAGGAGAGGTGCTCCAACTCTCTCATCATCTTTATGGCCCTCCTCCAGGCTCACTCCAACAGCTCCGTGTCTTTCTTGTGCTGGGGACCCTGTGCCTGGATTCAGTACTTTAGATAGGTCTCACAAGAGCAGAGTAGATAGGGGCAATCACTTCCCTCACCTTGCTGGTCACCCTTCTTTTGACGCAGCCCAAGATATAGTTGGCCTTCTGGGCTGCAAGTACACAACGCTCACTGATGTCAAGCTTTTTTACATCAGAACCCTCAAGCTGTTTTCCACAGGGCTGTGGAACTCTCATTGAGTTATTCTCCCAATCTGTACATATACCTGGGACTGCCTTGTTGAATCTCATCAGTTTCATGCGGGCCCACTTTTCAAGCCTATTCATGTCCCTTTGGATGGCATCCTTTTCTGCTGTTGTATCAACTGAAACACTTACCTTGGTGTTGCCTTCAAACTTGCTGAGGATGTACTCAGTCCCACTGTCTATGTCGTCGATGTACCCCTGGGGGACACCACTAGTCACCAGCCAACACCTGGACAAATAGCTGCTGATCTCAACTCTCTGACTGTGAACATCCAACCAATTCTTTACCTATCAATAGTCCAGCCTTCAAATCCATATCGCTCTAATTTAGAGATAAGGATGTGGTGTGGGACCATATCAAAGGCTTTGTGTAATTCTGGGAAGATGACATCACTTTGTTCACTGATGCCATCACTCCATCAAAGAAGGCCACCAGATTGTTCACTCATGATCTGCCCTTGATGAAGCTGTGCTGGCTATCTCAGATCATCTCCTCATCCAGCACATGCCTTAACATACCTTCCAGGATGATCCATGATCTTTTCAGGAATAGATGTGCAGCCTGTAGTTCCCCAGGTATTCCTTTATCCCTGTCTTAAAAATTAGAGTGATTATTTCCTTTCTCCAGGCACTGGGAACTTCACCTGACATCCATGACTGATGATATGATTGATACGATTTGATATGATATGATGTGATGTGATGTGATATGATGGAGATCAGGTTGGCAACCACAACATCCAGTTCCTTCAGGACCCTGGAATGCATGTTATCTGACTTCATAGGATTGTACATTCAGTCTCATAAGAAGTCTTGGACTTTCTCTCCTCTTACAATGGGATGGATATTGCCTAAATGCTCAAGGATGTGAGAGTTGTGTAAAGCCTGGCTGCCATTGAAGACTGAGGCAAAGGACTTGTTGAGCACTTCAGCCTTCTCCATGTTCGTTGAAGCCAGCTCTTCCTTCTCATTTATCAGAGAGGGTACACTCTGCTTCTTCTGTACCTTCAGAATCCATTCTTCACATCTCTTGCCAAATTCAATTCTATCCATGCCTTGCCTTTCTTCATATGATCTCTGTAAGTCCAGACAGCATCCCTGTATTTTTCCCTGGCTTTCACTGCCTATACATTTTCCTCTTTTCCCTCAGTTTGACCAGAAGGCACTTGTTCAACCATGCAAGTTTTCTGCCTCCTCTGCTTGATTTCTTACGCTGGGAGATGGAGAGATCTTGTGCTACCTGTCTATTTGGTTTAATTTTTAAGAAAATTAAATTCCAATAGATTACACAGTGCAAGAGGCTGTCATACATTTTTATCAAGTTCAGTAAGGCAGAGACAGAGTTATATCTCCAAAACTGGAGAAGGATATTTTAATAAAACCTTTTTAAAATTAAGCAGCACAAACGCTGTCAGGAAAAGAGCTCAAAACAGGAAATAAATATTTGCTTAGAATAAAATTTTAAAGTATATTTCTTGCAGAGACTAAATGAATAAGCACTATTTACTGATATTTACCTCTGAAATAATTTGATTCTTATAACATAAATTAGAGGAGGAGCTAAGAATTTATTTCAAAATTGAATGATTTGTGAAGTTACATTTACAAAGCCAGTACTCTTTCAACATTCTTTCTACTTTTAAAGAAATTTAATAATACAGAATTAGACTCCCAGGCAAATTGTGACTTGAATAAAAACCATTGTCCCTAAGTTTTATCATGGAAAGCAAAAATCAGTTTCTTGAAAAAAAAAAACCAACATTTTTAAAATATACACCAGAAAGAAGTGACACTTGGACAAGAATTGGTAGTGAAAAAAACAATGTGGACTTTGTAATAGATATGGAGAGCAAATTTCATACACAAAGGAAAAAAATATAAAGGCTAAAGCAGATCCTTAGTTGTTCTATATTATTGTAATTTCTCTTAGAATTTTACCTTTTGTTGCTGTAACTTGTAATTTTGTAGAAGAGTAGGCTGGAATCTCAAATGTGAGTCTCTAGATATGTATTACTTTTCCAATAATGGGTCTGATTTTTAGAATTGCTTCCTTATGTGTGGCCCTCACTGAATCCTATGACTCAAGTCACTTTTAATATGACTTCAGAACCTTGGGTGAAGGACCTCAACTAATAAAACTCCTAGGCACATTCTTAACATTACCATTCCCATGAATGGTAGAATCTTTGGTGCTGTTGTACACAGGTGCCATATATGTATTCATGACAAATACTGATGTAATTAAAGCCACTTCTAGAAACGCTAATTATTCTTAATCTTTTTTTTTTTCTTCTTCTTCTCTTTCTAGAAGATTTTCAATACAAAACAGTTTTCTCTGTTGATACCACTGTCTTCCTCGGTCTCTATTTTACCAGTGACAATACCGCTTTCTTTAAATACTGAGATTCTCCAGGCTTCCCTAGTTTGAAAGTTGGATCAAATACTTTTGTTTTTATCTTCACTTATCTGAAAATAAGTAATTGAACACCAAGGCCAATATCATAGAATCATAGAATCATAGAATCATTTGGGTTGGAAGGGACCTTTAAGATCACCTGGTTCCAAACCGCTGCTATAGGCATGGACACCTCCCTCTAGACCAGCTTGCTCAAAACCACATCCAGCCTGGTCTTGAAGTGCTCTCAGGGAGGGGGCATCCACAACCTCTCTCTACAACCTGTGCTAGTGTCTCACCACCCTCACAGTAAAGAATTTCTTCCTAATATCTAGTCTAAACCTGCCCTCTTCCAGTTTAAAGCCATTTCCCCTTGTCCTGTTGCTACCTGCCCTTATAAAAAGTCCCTCCCCAACTTATAAGGTCCCCTGCAGCCTTCTATTCTCTAAGCTGAAGAGCACAATCATTCTCAGCTTGTCATCTTAGGGGAGGTGCTCCAGCCCTCTGATCATCTTCATGGCCTCCTCTGGACTTGCTCCAACAGCTCCACGTCCTCTTTGTGTTGGGGGCCCCAGAACTGGACGCACTACTCCAAGTTGGGGTCTCACCAGAACAGAGTAGAGGAGCAGAATCACCTCCCTTGACCTGTGGTCACACTTCTCTTGATGCAACCCATGATACGGTTGGACTTCCGGACTGCAAACATACACCGCTGGCTCATATCGAGTCTTCCATCAACCAACACTGTCAGATCTTTCTCCTCAGAGCTGCTCTCAAGCCATTCTCTGCACAGCCTGTGTCTGTGCTTGGGATTGCCCTGACCCACATGCGGGACCTTGCACTCGTCCTTGTTGAGGTTGGCATGGACATGTTTGACAGGCGGGCCCAGGTCCCTCTGGATGGCATCCCTTCCCTCTAGCGTGTCAACTGCACCACTCAGCCTGGTGTTGTCCTCAAACTTGCTGAGGGCGCCCTTGATCCCACTGTCCATGATGCCTACAAAGCTATTAAATGGCACCTGTCATAGCACACATCCCTGAGGAATGCCACTCATCACCAGTCTCCACTTGGACATTGAGCCGTTGACCGCAACTCTGAGTGCAACCACGCAGACAATTTCTTATCCAGAGGGTGGTCCACCCATCCAATCCATTTTTCTCCAACTTGGTGACCTGCATGTCATACAGGACAGTGTCAAACACTTTGCACAAGTCCAGGTAGGCGATGTCAGTTGCTCTTCATTTTTCCCTTGGTGTTGTAACTCCATCGTAAAAGGCCACCACGTTTGTCAGGCCAGACTTTCCCTTGGTGAAGACACACTGGTTACCACCCATCACCTCATCTTTATTTTCCACTTGCCTTAATAGGGCCTTAAGAAAGATTTGCTCTATTACCTTGTCAGGCACGGGTGAGACTGACCGGCCTGTAGTTCCCTGGATCTCCTTTCTTCCCATTCTTGAAAATGGGGGTTATGTTACCTCTCTTCCCAGTCAGTGGGAACTTCACCACACTGCCAGGACCTTTTAAATGCAATGGATAGCATCTTGGCAGCTTCATCTGCCAGTTCCCTCAGAATCCGTGCATGAATCTTGTTGGGTTCATGGACTGGTGCACCTGCAGGTTCTTTGGATGATCTTGAACCTGGACTTCACTTACAGCAGGCCGATCTTCCTTCTTCTCGTTCTTACCTTTCCCTTCTGCAACTTGGGCTGTGTGGTTGGAGTTCTTGCTGCTGAAGAGTGAGGCAAAGAAGTCATTGAGCACCTCAGCCTCTCCGTATCCCTCATGACCAGGTCTCCTGTTTCCTTTCAGAAAGGGCCCATATCTTCCCTGGCCTTCCTTTAATTACTGATATATACCTGCAGAATTTCTTCTTGTTCCCCTTTATGTCCTTGGCTAGATTTAATTTTATCTGTGTTCTGCCTTTCCTAACTTGATCCCTGGCTGCTTGGACACCTTCTTTGTAGTCCTGCCAGGTAACCCATTCCTGCTTCCACTCCCTATAGACTTTCTTTTTGTGCTTCATTAAGTCTAGGAGCTTCTGGTTGATCCACACAGGCCTCTTGGCATTCTTGCCTGCCTTCCTTTTTCTGCACTTTCTATAGCTTGAGGGAATTTTTAGTAGTTGTTTATGAGTGCGCACTTATAAGAGCAAAGGTCTGTATCAGATGTCAATATGAATAATGAATCAAGATTTTTTTGTTCAGTTTAATGTCAGTGAATGAATTATTCAATGGTTTCAGCTAATTTCTATTTTTTACATTTTGGAAATTTTTTTATTTTCTTCTGTCCCCACAGGCAGAAGAAGAGAGAGATGATATGGAAAGAGTCAAGCTGGATAATAAAAGAATTCTCTTCAACCTATTGCCAGCACATGTTGCACAGCATTTTCTTATGTCTAATCCAAGGAATATGGTAAATCAAGATAAACTTTAAATATAAGGTGCTGTATGAGCTGTCTTTTGTAGCATGGGTCACCTTTCAACTGTTAGTTCTCAAGGAAAGCTTATATTTTTGAAATTTCATTCAAGGCAAAATAAATGGCTTTGTAAATACTTGCATGTGGGAATTTGTTTGGAGTTGTATCTTTCTCTGTAGTGTCCTCCTTCTCTGAAGAAACTGTTACAAAAAGGATAAAAAATACAAAATGGTATTTTTTATCATTCAACATCATTGCAGCTGTGGGGTGACTTAATTGCAGCCTTCCAGTACCTAAGGGGAGCCTATAAACTGGAGGGGAGTTCCCTCTTTGAAAGTGTAGATAAAAGCAGGACAAGGGGAAATGGCTTTAAGATGAGGGAGGGAAGATTTAGGTTGGATGTCAGGGGGAAGTTCTTTGCAGAGAGAGTGGTGAGGTGCTGGAACAGCTGCCCAGAGAGGTTGTGGATGCCCCGTCCATCCCTGGAGGTGTTCAAGGCCAGGTTGGATGGGGCCCTGGGCAGCTTGGTCTAGTGTTAGATATGGAGGTTGATAGCCTGCAACAGGGAAGTTGGAGCTTGATGATACCTGAGCTCCCTTCCAACCCAAGCCATTCTATGATTCTTTGATTCTATGATTCTGTGTCTCTCCATGAAAATCACCGATTTCTTTTTGAATTGAGTTAGAGTACTCAAATTTATCACAATATTTCATAACCTCAGTTTCAAAGTATGAAGCTTCTTTATGAACCACCCTAATTCTGAAAATACATTGCTCCTACCAAAGACAACCTTTAAAGATTAAAATAGAGAATTTTTCACATTTCGAAGTCTGTAATGATGAAGTATGCTGGTTGAAGAAGGTCTCAGAGGCCTTCTTCCAGAGCAGCTGCAATATCTGCAGCAATAATGTAGCCTTAATGGCCACAACGCTTATAAACTATGTGTCTCCGTGTTTTGAAGTTTGAACCAATGTATTCATGTCACTCCAAAAGTAATGCCTCCTATTTATTTTCAAGGAAACTACAGAAGATATGAAGACTACTTGAATGAGCAAATACTCAGCTACAAAACACTGTTTTTCAACAGTTATGCCATTAGCTATGCATTTTTGCCAGTTATTAACAAGAGCTTATATGCCACACTTGCAAAAATTTGCACCAGAGAAATGACACACTGTTTCACAGCTGCTACTGACAGCGTCATTTCTAAGAAAAGGTTGCTCACACAAAACAGTCTTTCACTAACTCAAATACATGGAAATCAAAAGGTGCCAAATCAGGACTATATGGTAGTTGTGGTAGAGGAGTCCAGCCAAGATTGGCAGTGTGCTCCATGGTCTTCAAACTGGGATGGGGGCTGGCATCACTGTGTTGCAAAAGAAAGGTTGTCTTCTTCTCTGGCCTTACTCTAGAAGTTCAAACCTTCAACTTAATTAGCACCATGTAAACAGTTCCCTGGTTTTAATCCACCAATTCATGCAGATCAGCTGGTGCAGATAAGCTCTTCATTTCACGGTGTGACAGCTGTGCATGACAATCCAGAACGTGGCTTGTCTTTCACATTGCTGTTGTCACTGCTCCAACATACCACCAACTTCCTCGTTGTGCCAACATCCACCATTTGGTTTCCATAATCATTCAGCAAGTGTTTATGAATGTCAGTGGGTGCAATTTTTTCTACACAGAGGAATTCATTTACATATCTTTGCTTCATATGCACTTCCATGTTAGCTGCTATTTTGTCAGACTTTCCCTTTGTTTCCATCTGTCACAAGATAAAAAAATTTAATGGAATGTTGGTTGGAAAGTTCAACCCCTACTGCCATACCACCAATATCTGCCTCTGATGTCATATGCCAACATAATAAAACAGGAGGCATTACTTTCAGAGCAGCCCTTGTATTTGATCCAAATCACAGACCTGAGTATGCTTTCTGTTAGCTCTATGAATTCTTAAGCAGAAGCCTTCGTAGACAGCAAAATTATACTCTTACTTCTGAATATAGGAGTCTGCAACTCTTGGAAAGAGGTGAAAGAGCAAGGCTGGTTTTGTGCCGCAGTATAAAATTCTTCCTTCTCCTATTTTAGCTATAAAACAATATTAAGAAAATGTAGTGCTATTTCCTATACAATAAAAATTATAAAACTGTTCAGACTTTCTATTTGTTTCCATCACTTCTTCCTTAAACAGGGAAAAAAAAAATAAAAGAAAAAGAAAATAGAAAATGACTGAGTTGTTTTACATGAGTTTAATAGCTCAGATTTAAATTATAGTTTGTGTTTTTGAGGGGAGAAAAATCTTGCCATTATTTTTCAGTAGGACTGGCTTTCTCTCTAAAAAAATGATGACTTTTGTAGTAGCTATCAAGGCAATAGCTTTTGCTATTTGGCAGTAAAATACATATAATAATGACCATGTCTGCTATAGATTACACAATTTAAATAAAATTCTATTTATTCATGTACTGCAGGACCTTTACTACCAGTCATATTCACAAGTGGGAGTGATGTTTGCTTCCATCCCAAATTTCAATGATTTCTACATCGAACTGGATGGCAATAATATGGGAGTGGAGTGTTTACGCCTGTTAAATGAAATTATTGCTGATTTTGATGAGGTAAGGTTTAAACATTTTGCCTTTCAAGCATATCAGATCTACCCAACTTTTGTCTGCAGAAGTTATTTGTAATAATTCAGTATACTCTGAACTGCCTAATAAAACAGTACTGTTAACTTCTTATCGGATTATAATGTATGTTCACAGGACTTCCCTCTAAAGCTCCTGATTTGTACTCATAAGTGCCTGAATCTGACCTCAAAGTCCTCTAATGTAGGAAAAGTATTAAAATGGAAGTTAATGGTGGAGTTTTTTTAATGACCTCAAAGTGAGCAAGCCTCAATTTATCAAACCTAGTATGGTTTAATTGGCTTGCATATATTTTCTGAAAACTATGGTTTCTTGCCTAAAATACTATGTAATATTTAACAGTTTTATGTTTTAAACAAAGCTTATGGACAAAGAATGTTATAAGGACATAGAAAAAATCAAGACAATTGGAAGTACATATATGGCAGCTGTGGGACTTGTACCTACTTCAGGAACTAAGGTAAGAAGATTTTACATGACAGTTATTGTGGTGGAACAGTTTTCCTCCAGTTTCCAAATGAACACCAGAAACACAACCAAAAATTACAGATATTTTTTTTTACTTCTTTACAACAATTTAAATCTGAAATTCAAATATCAAGCTGAAGAAAATATCTAAAAGCCTATAAAGAAATATGGCTACCCTAGCAGTTACTCATGTGGCAGTGTTTGGATTTGAATTCTCTGCAAGCTGGTGTGAAAAGCTCCCAAGTCAGAATTACAGGATTTTAAACTCAGCATCGTAGATGTTCTTATAGAATGCAGAGAGGGGGGAACTCTAAATGTAATGAACTGTTGTAAAATAACAAAAGATTGTTAAAATGCGATTTTTTTTCTCCATTATTTTGAAATTTAGGAGCAAAATCCTATCACATCTAGGAACATAGTGCTATGTACAGTTTTACACATTACCATGATCCCTCCAAATTAGATAATCTTCATCTCTACTGCTTACATTTTTCTTATCCCTTTAATTACTTGGCAATGAAAAAAAATCAGTATCATTTCAGACCAATAATACTGGATACAGTTATTCTGTTATCTCCTTAATCCCTCTGTGTGTATTTCTAAGTTTGATTTTGGGTTTGGGGACAGCTATTTCCTAGATTTGCACACAGCATCTGAAAAAGCAGAGAATCACCTGAGCAGAATACTGAATATTGTGTATTGTACAATGAGAATAAAAGTAACATGAAAGTAATCCATGCACCCAGTTTTTCCAGATTTTTGTGAGATCTCACCCCTCTTCACTGAATCATAGAATGTCTTGAGTTGGAAGAGACCTTAAAGATTATCTAGTTCCAACCCTAATAGGCAGGGATACCTTTTACTAGATTAGGTTATCAAAGCCTCATCCAACTTGGCCTTCAGCATTTCCAGGATCTACAGCTTCTCCAGGCAACCTGTTCCAGTGCTTCACTACTCTCCTCATGAATAATTTCTTCCTTATATCTAACCTAAGTCTGCCCTTTTTCAGTTTAAAACCATTGCCCTTTGTTTTGTCACTTCACTCTCTTATAGAGTCCACCCCCATCTTTCCTGTACACCACAGTTAGGTAGTGGAAGGACACTAGGAAGCCTTCCTGGAATCTTCTCCACTTTGACCTAAGTAGCACCAAATCAGCCTCTCTTCACGGGAGAGGTGCTCCTGCCCTCTGATCTTCTTCATGGTCCTCCTCAGGATTCCAACAGGTGCATGTCTTCCTTATGCGGGTGGCCCAGAGCTGAACACAGTACTCCAGGTGGGGTTTTAAGAGAGTGGACTGGAGGGGGGGAGTCATCTCTTTTGACCTGCTACTACATTTCTTTAACTGTATTCCAGTATACAATTGTTTTTTTGCGTTGTAAGCGCAGACTGCTGCCTTGTTTTCAGTTTTTCAACCACCAACACCCTCATGCCCCTCTCCACAGAGCTGCTCTCTATCCATTCATCATCCAGCCTGTACTCATGCTTAGAATTCCCCTTCTAAGTGGGGATGTTGCACTTGGCCTTGTTGAACCTCTCAAGCCTGTCAAGGTCCCTCGAGATGACGTGTGTCAATGACAACACTCATATATAAACTTGAGGTTGCATTTAATCCCACTGTCCATTTTGTCTACAAAGATATTAAATAATAGCAGTCTCAGTTCAGAACCCTGGATAATACCACTCATCACCGGTCCCCACTTAAATATTGAGCCATTGCACACACATTGCAACCATACAGCCAAGTCCTTATCAACCGAGTGGTACATCCATCAAAGCCATGTCTCTCCACTTTGGAGATAAGGATGCTGTGTGGGAGAATGTCAAATACTTTGCCCGAGTCCAGGTAGAGATAGATGTCTGCTGTATGCATATAGATGTATGCATGTATGTGTGCTGTAGGAGTATATTCACACACAGTATGATTTAGAATTGAAAAATGAAGACAAAAACAAGATGGCCTGTGAACTTTCTAGGAACAATCATCTTTTTTAGGTGTTAAAAATAAAGGATGCATTAAAATCAACTATTAGAATCACACACTGGAGTATATTCAAAAGCAGCCTACTTTCTGGTTGGTAGATAGGGTGCTTTTTTTTTTTTTTAATCATTCCTAGAGTAGAAATCTAGGCACTAAAAAAAGTCCTTTTTAATGTTGTGTTTATGCTGAAAATGCTTGACTCCTCCATCCCACGACAGGCAGAAAATCGATCCTTTGAATTTTTTCTCACATGATCTGAGACAAACAGGCAAAAGCTTATTTGTGTGTCTACTATAAATGCTCTTTGAACTACAATCCTGAAAACAAGTGTGTTATTGCGTAATTTTGGCAGCATATGTACCAAAACCTAAACATGTTTATCTCCAGTGCTTTATGGTTGCTAACTGAAGGGTCAGCTGAGTTAGTCCAGTACAAAAGTTACTGCTTTGAGTTAATGATAGTAATGCACTTTAAATCACAGCAGAAAGCCTTGTACAGAAATATGCCTTTTTTTCTGAAATCTTGGGGCAAATTTTGTTCTTTTCTGTACAAGTAGAATAATTTTTTTTTACATTTCAGACTTCCCAAAATTCTAAAGATCTTTAATGAACACAGACAATATTTTCAACTGTAAGTTTGGTTTTCATTCTTCTGTAATCTCTTCTTACTGTCTGTGTGATGCAAGTGAGTAGAAATTGTTCACATCTTCTTGGCATTTTCCTGCTAGATCTTCACTATGCAGCCATTTATTACAAGCATGATGATCGTGGGTAGCTTACTATGTCCAGATGATCACTTCCAGATGTCCACACTATCCCTTGTCTGCCCTACAGAGCCAGCTGTGTTCCTTGGAAGCGACTCCAGACACAGAAGTTCCTTGTCTCCCTTCTTGCAAATGATGTCCCAAATTCGTAAGAAAATCTGCTGCAGCCTCTAGTTTTATGAGAGGTATTGCAGGAAATCAAAGCATGCATCAAACAGCAAGAAACTGGAAGGAAAAATGAATATAAAGAAAATTAAAGGATTGAATAAAGCTGTAGACTTTTTCCTCTTTCAAACATTCAATATTATTCACCTTCTCTGCTGGAAGTGCAGTTGTGAACTCTAACTTTAAATTCCTATTTTTCCTTCGTCTTTGTGAGGTTGGAAACGAGTAGAGCTAGCTGACATTGCAAGAAACAAGTAAAGAAAATATTCCTCCTGAAACCTGGGACTTGCTATGGATCCAGTGATTTCATCATTTTTTGTTAATCAGTTTGCTCTATTTTGTAAAAAAATTCCCAGCTGTATGAATGAACTCTACCAAACTGAGCCCAAAGGAAGCAAATAGCAATGTTTCTCAGATTCTTCATCCACAGTCAATTTAGAAAATCTCACTAACACATCAAAAACCCAGTGAACTTTCATCTCACGCCAGCTGCCATAGCTGAATTGTGCAACACCCTACTGAAGGTAGACAGCCACTGACCCCGCATTTCTTTCACCATATCCTACCTTTAGCCTACTTCCATTTTGCAAATCTGTTTAAGAATTCCTATTTATTATTCAAATAACAGAACAACGTAAGAGGAACAATACTAAGTCATGTCAAATGTCCATTTTGGTAACCTATTTCAAATACTCCAAGAGTAGATATTGGAGTTACAGAACAAAAATGCAATCTGTTTCCCTTTTTTAATGATATGCTGTGTAAGAAATTCTAGAACTACAGCTAGTATCTTTTTACCAATTTGTAGCAATTATTTTTTCCATGAGTTTGTACAATTATGTTTGAATTTAGCTAAAATATTGAAATTTACAGTATCCTCTGAAAATGAATTCCACCATTTAATTAGACTGTAGGTGTAAAAAGTAAACATAACTTACTTATGTTTTGTTGTGTTTCTGTTTTTTTTCTTTTTTTTCTTAATCATGGTACTTCATAGTTTCATTTGATCCCTTATGGTTCTCTTGCTTTAGTTCATTTAGGTATGTTTCATAACAAGTCACTTCAGCTTGCCTGGAAAACAAACAAAAAACGTAGATCAGTTCTGCATCTCACAAGACTAAACATAACGGGAATTTTGTCAGTGGGAACATCATGGAATCACAGAGCTGGAATCTAGCAAAGTCCCCAGAGGAATAAAATAAAGAAACTGTAGTTATTATTAATAATCATCAGGCAAAGCGGTTTTGTAAAAAAAAAGCAGGTTATATTCTGCTCAGTGCTCACAATGAATATCCACAGCAGACTTACTTCACCATGGGAACTTCACTTTCCATTCTTCCCAGAAATCAGAAAAAGAGATTGGGAAAAGAGAAGGAGACAAGAGGAGAAGGGATTCATTAGTTGAGAAAACAGTGCTTATTCTGTAGTCACTGTCAAAAGTTCCTTTTCACAGACAGCAAAATGGGTTAGATTTCCTAAGCTTTCCACTCATTCCAATTTTTTACACACTGATGTTTCACCTGCCTATCAGTTCTATGTAAATCTAATGCTTAACACTGTTTTGTTTCTAGGCTAAAAAATCAATTTATTCCCATTTGAGTACACTCGCAGATTTTGCAATAGAGATGTTTGATGTTCTTGATGAAATCAACTATCAGTCTTACAACGATTTTGTCCTAAGAGTTGGTAAGTTTTCTACAATTACCACGCAAGTGAAACACTTGTTATTTAGCTTTTTTTTTTTTTTTTTTTTACTGTCTTTCCAAAGTACTGTCTGTCCTGTACTCCTGACTAAAACTAAATGGCTTCCTGCAGAAGATACATGTCCATGTATAAGATGAGCAGGCTGAATAGACAGCATCAATACTAAAAATTAAACTTGTGTCCATTTCTAGTGTGTTTACTTTGTTTACTCACACCTAAAAGAAAATTATGCAATATTATTAGTGTACATAGTATTGTGCTGCTAATCTGGTGTAAATTGAGTCTGGCAGCATTTGGCTGTCAGGAAATCCTGCATTTGCAGAGGCATTATTGGCATTAAGTATGGTGAGAGTTTTTCATAGATCCTAGAATCATAGAATATCCTAAGTTGGGAGGGATCCACAAAAATCACAGAATCATAAAGATTCACAGAATCAGGAGTTGGAAGGGACCTCTGGAGACCTCTGGAGATCATCTAGTCCAACTCCTCTAAAGCAGGTTCCTTGGAGTCAACTCCTCTCTCCATATAGGACTGCCAAAAATTCAAACCATATGTGTGAGAGTATTCTCCAAATGGTTTTTGAACTACAGCAATCCTGGTGCTTTGACTCTCGGTGAACAACCTTTTCCTAATACCCAGTCTGACTCACCTGTGACACAGTTACAAGCCGTTCCCTCAGGTCCTGTCACCAGAGAGAAGAAATATGCTCCTCCCCCTCCACATCACTATAAACAGTCCTTTCTGCCAGGACATAATTGGAACATAATTTCTTAATAAGAAGGACTTATTTTAAGGATGGAATTTTTGCTTAGAGAAAGCCAGAAAGAAGACTAAGATGCTTGCCATTCAGGAAGAATTAGAACAAAGTGTTTGAATCTCTGCCATGCCTTAAACTCCAAGTTATTGCACCGTGATGACAAAAAAGACATGCTCAATGTTCTTAGTACAGACAATCATTCATTTTGTGTAACTAACAAAAAATTGATTAATAATTTATTTGAAAGAGAAAATTTTATGAATAAATTTTAGCACTTGATGGAGTTTCCATGGATGATCTTTAAATATTTGAATATTTGAGTATTCAAATAAATTCAGATATTTGAATATGTAGGTATTTTGCATATATATGAACATATTATTAGCTTCAATTTAATTTTGAAAAAAACCCTTTTCTGTGCTTGAAGAAACTTTCCTGATGAATTCTAGACTTAATGTATATTGTTTCAAAAGTTCTACCTTTACTGCTTTCTTATATTATTATTGCATTTTATTTTTGCCAGTGTTCACACCTGTTTTTGTAACTGTTTTCAGATTCTCTGGTCTTGACAACATGATCCTTCCCATGCAATCCTTTATATGTTACTTCATGTCTTACCCCTGAGTCCTTTCTCTCCAGTTTCTATATTTTCATGCGTAAATTGTGAAATCAGGCTAGACAAGTGGAAAACTGATCTATCAGCATAGTGAGAAACACATCAAGGATAGCAATGGTAAACTTATACATCTTTGTTCTTCTGTACATCCATCACTAGAAGTCTGAAATTCTTTTTGTACTATGCTGTAACTGGTCTTCCCTTGTTCATAAGGGAGCAGAAGGCAGATATTTAAATCCCATTCTACTGCATAACTTGCCTGAAAAGGCACAGATATTGTGGAGGTTTTTACATCAACAGCTCTTCAGGATACTGAGAAGATGGAACATCCCATGGCGTCAACATCAGTCAGAAATGTAGAGATAAGCCCAATGGTTTTCCCAAAAAAGGTGCTTGAGCTATTTTCACATACTGTCTTCTTCTTCAGTGTTTCCCTGAGTTGTCTTGTGCTGATAAGCAATGTGACATACTACTCTTACACCATTTATTGTGTTTCATGGTCAATATTTCCATTCAACCTGGAAAATCTGCCACTAAAAGGCTTCAGAGGAGCAATCACAGAGGAATTCATAGCAAAAAAAAATGAAAGATATTTTAAAAAATGTCTTGGTTTTTTTCACAGCTAAACTCTGTAGTACCATTACTTTTTTTCTTTTCTTGAAACCAAACAAACAAAAAAATCTACAGACAAACAAAAATTTTATGTTTCTTATCATATTACATTTCCAATAAGATATTGGTGTGTATGTCTTTGTTTTGTTTCTAAAACTCTTACAAATGCAGAAGTTGAGTTCACATTAGCACTCTTTGTGTTCTGTGATTGGGAGAATTATGAGTCATTTGTGTTACATCCTTTTTATAGGATTTATGTTTTTTGATTTTAGGTATTAATGTTGGGCCTGTAGTAGCTGGAGTCATTGGAGCCAGACGACCACAGTATGATATCTGGGGAAACACTGTAAACGTTGCCAGCCGGATGGATAGTACTGGGGTGCAAGGGAAAATTCAGGCGAGTGCATTCCAAGATAACTTTGCAAACTTTATGTACCTTCTGTTTTATGTGTCACTGCATTTTCTAAGCAATCTTGAGAATATAACCATACATTTCATGAAGAAGTGAAGCGTATAATGGAAAACAACTTACTCCAGCTTACAAAAGTGGAGAATTTGGCTACATATTTTCTGATGATTAGAGCTTTATTAGCTCACACCAGAAATTCTGATTCTCAGATTCTAGTTTGATCAGTGATTTTTAATTATTTAAGCGAAGCCAGGAGCAGCAGTACACGCTAATTCATTCTGCTCATGTGCATTTCAGTATGGATAATGAAAAGTGGAGGGAGCAGTTGACAGTTCTAGGATTTACCTTGTGAACAGGAAAAATTAATCACTCTTTTTTTTCTGTCCTTAGGTGACAGAAGAAGTTCAGCGAATATTAAAGAGGTGCAGTTATGAATTTGTGTGCAGGGGTAAAGTCAGTGTAAAGGGAAAAGGTGAAATGTTGACCTATTTACTGGAAGGAAAGGCCAATGGAAATAATTCACAAACACAGTCTTTAAACTTAGAGCGGAAAATGTATCCTTATGGGAGAGCAAATGTTCAAACAAAATTGGGCACCAGCTGTCCGTCAGTGTCCTCAGTTGCTAGCTTAACTCCAAAAGCTGGCCTTGGAGCAGATCAAGCATCTACCACTCACACAAATCAAACACTGCATTATCTTCCTTCTGTGCCAGCTGTGAAGGAGGCTTAGAGCAAAGGAAATTTGGTTGTGCCATTTGCTACGAAGGTGAAGAGCAATGGTTGCCTGAATTTTTACCAAAAGATCAGAGGTCATAGGCCATGGCATTAACCAAGGACCACTACAACCCAACCAAAGAGAGCTTGGGAGCTGTGTAATGAACTCTTGGGATGGAACATATAAGGGCTAGAAATTCTGTTTGAAGAGTCAAAAACTGATTTTCTGGAAATAAGGAATATTTTCTTGGCATTTTTAATGGGTAAATGAAAAAAAAAAAAAAGATAAACATGCAAACACTTATTTGTGTGTGTGTATATCTTTTAATCTGTATATGCACATATACAAACACTCCTATGTAGACCTAATATATATATGAAAAAATAAAAATATGTATTTATTTACACATCCACTTGCAATGACATATCAAAGAGATTTCTCTTTTTGTCATAGCCAGTATTGTTTGGTCTGGGATTAGAAAAGCTGCATGTGGAGTATGTGGCAGATAAAGGTTCTTTTGGGCTACAGCAAGGATTAGATAAACTGTTCCCAGTGCATGAGTGAACAAAAAATTGTTCATTGCACTGTCAAAGGCCAAGTAATGAAGGCTGGATTCAGCAAATTGCTAAATACTATGCATTTTTAAATTTCTACTTGCATGCTCCAAAAACATGCATTGGGATATAAAGCAGATGAAGAACAGAGCTTAAATTTTGGCAGAAGAGCAATATGATGAGTTTTATTTGATGTTTGTTTGTTTATTTTTTGTTTGTTCTTGAAAGAAAAAAAAAAAAAAACACAAAGATAAAATGGCTGATTCTTTAGAAGTCATTTGATTCTTTGTAAGGAGCCACCCTGTAAACACAGCAAAATGCTTATGCAATATAGAAACATGCCTTTATATACAACATCAAAGAGCAGAAAGATGGTATTATTTCAGGCTTTTACAGATAGCAAAAGTCCAACAGCTCAGTTCCAGGACTTAGCTATACCTTTTAAAGCATCTTAAAGAATTTTCCCACAGACAAACATGCTGTTGCTAGCTTTGTGCCAGCTTTGTATGTTTGTCAACATAGTTTTATGTCTTAATTGATTTTTAAATTGATGCCACAGATTATTTTTTTATATCTTGATTCTACGTAGGCTCATGATTCAAAGCTGGACAATTATAGAAAGCTATTATTCTGAGAAACAAGCACAGTCAAACTTTGCACAAATGAAGAGCTCACTAGTAAACAAGCTAGGAAAGTGAGGACTGCACTTAATCTGAATAAAAGGAAGTATATTTTAATTGCTTTGTTTTTCAATGCAGCCCACATCTTATCATGCATGGTTTCTTTTTGAATCACCAGTCTGGATGGGAAATGTATTGTACAGCTCTGTATTGAAGGAGAGTGAACTTGTCATGAACGAGTCATGACATGCTTAGACCATTGCTTTAATGTTCTGATGGGATTGCACAAGCTAACCAGCCTCACTGCTTTCCAAAAGAGAAGCAAATCTTTACATTGCTTAAAAGTATGTAAATCTTGCAGGGTATGCTAGGCGAGACCATGAGAGAGGAGTGGAGAGGGGTGAAGAGACATGGTATGGCGTGGCAAGGCAAGGGAGAGGAGAAAGAGAGGAGAGGAGAGGAGAGGAGAGGAGAGGAGAGGAGAGGAGAGGAGAGGAGAGGAGAGGAGGGCTGAAGATGTTGAGGTTGTACTGATGAAAACTTGGATGTACTATATGCCACAATTCACTTTGTGGAGGCTTACTGTGTTACTGATTTCAGTGGAAAGAGGAATGTGATTTTTATGCAATCAGCATTTACTTTGGAAAAGTTATTATTTTGTTGTTACAAGCATGTGAACAGATTTTATGTCAACAGATGTAAATCGTTAGACAAAACCTGCAGAAGTTTCTATTCCCCGTGTAGTTGCATGCTGCAGTGAGATTCAACCACTTTTCAGCAAGATTTTACCTAATTTTTTTGTATCCTGTCAGTTAGGTTTTTCATTACAAAGCTAGCAAAATTAGTATTGTGCCTGAAGTGACTGTGAACAACTGAGGATTGCTTCCTAATTATTAGATGTACACACTGATTGACCTGTGACAAATCACTGAATTTCTTCTTATCTGTAACAGCTATTCAGCTCACAAGTGTTATTCAGAAATTATTTAACTCTGTTTTGTAGCCACTTAAATAAATACATATAGAGAGCACAAATTTAAAAGAATGAATATTCACAAATTGAACTGAATAAATGGTATCCATGCAAAGTGCACTGCATATTTTTGGTTTCTAGTAGTTTTATGAGAACTAAATCATCATGCAGTTAAGCTAAATATTTAACCAAAATGGGAAGTTGTATATGCAAAAGCATTAATTTCTCAGTTCCATTAACAAAGAGACCAAAATATACAATTTTTGAATCAGCAGACTTGGTGAAATATCACCGATAATAATAAAACATTTCTTTTACTTCTACTGCTACTACAAAGCAGAGTAAATTCGAATCATTTGTTTTAATATTTTAAAAGACTAACAAGTGCTAGTGGAATTACCATGGAGGTTTTTTAAGTCTGATCCTCTTCTCCAGCATGCAAATATGGCAAGTGTTTTAGGAAGAATGTCCTTCATCTTCAATGGAAAGGACCATTCCATTGGCTAGCTACCTGTGGGGCTCCTTTGCATTAGTTAGTGCCTCTAGAGCAGCATGAGTGTACCTTGGATGGATTCTGGCATTGCAGCTGGTCCAGTTTGGCCTTGCTATCTTATGCCATCACTGATGATGCATTTTAAGTCAGTTTCCAGACTTTGAGTCCTAGCATTAATGCTCTTTTTGTGGTTGTTGTTGCTGTTTTTATTATGGGAAAATCTGTATTTTTTCTACTTCTATGTAGTAGTGGACAAAGAAGTATAAAATTATGGAAAATTCACAAAGTAAACAGCTGTGAAAAAAAGGCAATTTTTACAAACCATTCCTACAGGGAATATAAATTGTGATGTGATGAAGCTGTTCTCTTTGTGCATTCCCCCTCTTTTCATATCATTTTCCTCCTTTTTTGTGTGTACATTTGTTTAATTTCAGTTCTTGTATAGTAGCTTTAGATGACAGATTTAATCTCTCTGCTGTATTGCATTTTTATCTCATCAAAAACACACAGAGATAGTAATGACTCCCAGTAACTCCATAAATGTACGTATTCTGCCAAATTAGAAAAGTCTGTCATCATTTTTTAAACTAAAAATTGGCTGAAGATTGTGTGTGGCCAACTCCAATATCCCTTAAAATAGTTCTATGGGATTTGGGTTGGGCCCATCTGAATGCAATTTTTTACTCTCTTGCATTTATTAATTTTCTGGTCAAGCTCTGAAACTGTTGTCTGGATGACCTTGCTGTAGCACCAGCAAGGAGTCAGTTTTGCCTCACAGTACCCCAGAGTCCCTTACTTTTACCTGAGGGTAGCTAAATTATGTACTGTGGGCAGAATAGCCTCCTGCATTTCTGTTCACTGTTCTGTGCAGCTCTTAGCTAGAAACAATTAACAGATATGAGTCCTACAACAACGTGATGCCATTTTGGCATGTTAATGCGTGTCAACACCAAGCACAATATTTCACATCAGTTTGCACATTTTCTCTTTAAGATAACAGTAATAGTTGAAGGTTTTTGTTCTTTATATAGGAAATAAGTGTCAGAGATGTTCAAAGTCTCTTTACTATCTTGGGAGCTAATTTCAGAAGTGTTCCCATGCTACCTTTATCTTGAAATGATTTTTTAACTACTATTCTCTGCTGGCATTCAATTGCATTACTGGCTAGATATTTCCCAATATTTTCCATTCACGCTGGCTAGAAAGCTATTTTATCCAACCTGTAAATTCATTGTTATTTGTAGCTGCTTCCAGCTGTAAGAAGTCACACTCTGTTGCCTTCACAAAAACACGAGCAAATTATCCCTTGCTTTCTCTAGGTGCAGGTGAAAGCCTGCAGAAACCACCAGAAGTTTAGAACGCTTACAAAAGTCAGGAGCTGAGCTTCTGAGGCCAAGTTTTGCTTTGGGTTATAGTGATGACTCCCAATGGCATTGAGCTTAAATCACCGTTTTACAACACTGTAAAAGAGTAGGTTAGGAAAGTCTGCTGCGTACTTTTGCTCATAATTTATCTGTAAGGCAAAAGTACTTGGGAGTTACTGTTTGAAGTGAAAAAGTATGTGACCTGTGCCATTTCAGCACTTTGAGACATCCGATCACTGTAGTAACTAGAGTGAATCATTTTCATGTGTTAAATGAATACCTGCTCATAGGAGAAACAACTTATTTTCTCTGCATCGGCAAGTCCAGATTCTGTATGTGTACTGCCCAGGCAGGAGGACTATTTAGCCATAATGTTCTTTCAAGTTAGAGTTTTGTATTACAGTGAAAAACCAACATTTTTTAATTAGTGATAAACTGTATTATAATGCCTTATTTATTTTTAATCTTGTACAGTGTTACAAAAGAACTGAAAACACTGGCCTTTCATGTATTATTCACTTAAAGGATGTATTGTGTGAAATTTTGTAAATAGGTTTAGCTTTGACAGGTAATTGCATGTACACTTGTATAAAAAAGAAGCAAAAAGGCACACTTCTAACAAATTTTTGTAACAGACATTTTACATGTGCATGGAGAATATAAATCCTTTGGAAATGAATGTCCTTTTGGTTTTCCTTGCAATATACTGCATGCCATTCATGCCTGACTTCAGCAAAACAAATCAAAACCAGTAAGTTTTACTAAATGTTTTCGACATATCACTTCTGACAAAGTTAAATCCACTAGTTTGCATGTGTGTTTAGCAAAGCAAAATCAAAATGCAAAGATCAAAATATGAAGAAAAGTGTTTTAATGATCATGATCTGCCAACCGCAGTGTTCCAAGATGCATAATACAGTATATGAAATGTGTTTCCAACTTCTATGCTGTCTTTATAAGGTACCTGCTGGTCATTAGAAGCAATAAACTTTACTTACTGTAATATAAAAA